TACATGTAATGTAGGAAATGAAAAGTCTTGAGGAAAAACTTCAATTTAGCATGAAGGAAGGTATGTTTATTACTATGACAGATGGATCTAACTTATCATGGGTATGAATACAGTTAAGAGGATTGAAAGTCTGGAACAATCATTGAAAGAAAAAATAGGTATTTATCTGTTAAAAATTATTGTTCAAATTACTTTTAAATTTATTAAAGAGCATATCAAGTCACTGCAAATACCAGGTATACTCTAATTTATGTTTCATTTGACTTATAAAAGAAACTTGTTGCATACAGCTACAGAGTCTGAGCTCAAAAATGAGCTACAAGTTAGCAAAAAGCAATTAAGTGCATTGAGGCTTGAAAATGAGCAGTCAATCACTTCTTTCAAAGTAAAAAGAGGTAAAAGAGCCAAACTACAATGTATGCACTCATAGTATAAACATCTTATTTTGTTTATAGATGAATTGCAAGAAGAAATTTCCCTGCTAACTGCTCAGTCATTAAAATTGCAAGAAAATGACAAGATCCAACAGGAGAAATGTTAGTAAATTTTTTTATTAATGATAATTAAAAGTAAAATTAATTATTAGTAAAACAGTTTGAAGTACTATTGAAAGAGTTAGAGGATTCTAAAGCAGGTGATAATTAATAACCAGATGCTTTGAACTTGAATAATTTAATTCTAATTGGTCATTCTAGCATTGGAAATTTCATTGGCTGAGAGTAAAAAATCAGCACAAACAAAAGTTTTGGCAGAACATGATGAAGTGTTGAAAACTGGTAACTAAAGATAACTACATATTATGTATGTATATGTTTTTCAGATAAGCAAATTGTATTCAACAAACAAGTTCCACACGTTAAAGGTATTTCAATTAGAAACTCGGTTATTATTAGTAATACTACTAATAGATGTTGTTGACTTGTTACAAAGATTTGGTTTTCCTGAGACAAAGTCTGAAGAGCTTGGAATGGCACTAGATATAGATCCAAAATATTTTGACGAGATGAATCTTAAGTCCTTGACTGGGTGTGTCATTCAGTGGACTAGAAATAGTGAAACAAAACCTTCTTTTGTCTCACTGTCACGTGCCCTCAGATCTATTAATGAAACTGTTATAGCAGACAAACTAGATCAAGAGAGTGAGTTAACATTTTCATGCAATTGATGTTAATTGTATGTCTTTAGTTTCTGTGGAAAGAACTCCTGATCTTGTTCTTGCTGCCTTTGATTATCACTTTGAAGTTCTCTTGACTTCTTTGTCAGATCCTAAGGCAGTCACTAAAATACCTTATGGAGATGGTATCATAAAAGCTGAAGTTTTGAGTCAAATGGGAATCAAGGACCTTGACACTGGTTGTTTTGAATTATTATGTGCTATCAGAGAATCAATTAAAATCAATTATAATGTTATAGAAATATTTGCTAATGTATTGAGCAAGTTCCCTGAAATTGAGCAGTTTGGAAAAGCTCTACTTAAAAATATTGGTGAATGCACCCAAAACTTGTTTTATTTATAAAGCTGTTGTTTTTAGGTGCCATCATCAAAGTTGAAGCAAAAGAAGGTACAGTATAACAACTTTATACATGTAGTTAAAATTTGTGTAATTTTTAATGTAGATGAATACTTGCCTCATCAAAAGTCATCCAGTTCAGGTAGAAATATTTAAATTACATGTATTCTGTATCATTTTATTTTATTTTAGTGGAAATTATGGTTCCTCATAGCATAATTACAGATATTTCCTCTGTAAGAATTGCTTATGGTAAAATGATGTATAATGTCGGTAAAGTTTTGAAGAGTAGTATCGAAGATTTTGAAGCCTTACAAGATTTTATTGGTAGCTGTAATAGTGATCTAAAAAATGATCCTCAATTTCATGATCCATCTCAGCTAATGCATGTGATAGAGAAGGGATGTTCGTTGATTAATACTAGCCTTGTTTGTGCTGTGGCAGAAGAGTTTCAGGTTTCAGAAGTTCAGAAATATATTGATGAATATAATCGTATTTTTACAAAATTTTGCAAATTATTGTCTGAGCTTCTGTCGTTAAAGGAAAAGGTTGCTGATTCAAACTGTCAAACAATTACTTATGTCTTAGACAGGGCATTGGATTCGACCACAATGAAAGATATTAAGGATATTCTCTCAATATCATCATATGGTAAAATAGTGCTTATACATTATTACAACTAGATATAGATCTAGCTTAAAGTAAAGTATAATTTTTTGTAATTTTTAATGATAATATTATTATCATAATTATAAATGCAGACTGGAGTAAAAGGAGCAGGAGTATGCTTGGGGACAGTTTTTCTTGCAATAAATTATTCATGACATATCAATGGTTCATGCATGGTACCACAGATACACATGATCTTCCTTTGTTAAGTCTTTGAGATGAACATCTGAGTTTAAATCCATGGATGATGAGTTAAAACATTATTTCAAATTATATATCAGTTATGAGTACATCAAAATGCATCTCTTCATGAATCAATTTTATTAACTTTATGCTCTCAAATAAGTTGACCTCTAGTTCAGAAGAGCGGCATGTATAGATTATGAAAGTATAGGATTATTAATAGTTAGACTATAATTCAATTGTTCACACTAGAATCAATCCACCTGAAGATTACAGACAGTTGCATATACATGTAGAAATGATCTAATCAATGATGGCTAAAAGAATGGCTACCTTATAATAACACAACAATATACAGTACATATAATATACAATTACATCATGCATGCATGATGTAATTGTTGTCTTTAGAAACTATAAACTTTAAAACTCAATACTAAGGAAATAAATTTAATCTATGATAACATGCCATGTTGTTTTAAGAAAAATAAAAGGAAAATGAATATCAACAATACCCAATTCACATGCACACAACAATGAGATTTCTATATTTGATATGCTCAGTCAAAATAATGCTTCACAAAATTCATAATTAGAAAATCATTTCTTTGAAGTATTATATACATGTAATAAATATAAAAAGTTACAAAACCAGCTAGATGTAGACATACTATGCATATTTAAGGTTTTAATGGTTTTAAACTGGTCATTACATATTTGAATGGTAACTTACAATTCACTATATTTAAGCATGAGTAGATCTATCTAAAATGACTTTTTGTAATGACAATTATATTTGTTATTCTTGTTAAGTCTAACATTTGCCCAGTGCATTGATGTGCATGGTCAAGCATCATGCACAGTTGCCTCAAATAGAAAACCTTATTATTCCTTTTAACAAGGTTGAAAGCGAAATGATCAAAGGCTAATGGTAGTGTATATTGGGCATTAGAACTTCCTTTGTAAACAGGAATGTTTTTCATCATCTAATCGACACAATATTAAAACAACTAATAGTTTACATTGGCAATTGAAATTATTTTCAGCTTCACAAGGAAGGAGAGTAAGAAGTTTGATGATTCCCAATGAAGCGTTTTCTCTACATTTCTCCTTCTGCTACATTGGTTCTGATTTGGAATTTCCTCATATATAGTCAGTACTTCTTCTTCTGTAGTTTTATTGGTGAACTTTCCATTGATGCTGCTCCTGCTACTTGGTACAAGTATGGGTTTGTTATTTTTATTTGTTTTGGTTATATGTCCTTTCCTTTATTTGGTCTGTTAGCTGATGTATGGATTGGAAGATACAAAGCTATACTGATTGGTATAGTATTGTGTTTTATAGCATGGATTATAATAGGAATTGGATTCATGGCTTATGAATACTACAGTTACAACACAATACTGAAGATTGCTTATAGTATAGTATATATTCTTGAATATCCAGGATATGCTTGTTTCACTGCTAACATTATTCAATATAACATTGATCAACTTGTTGGAGCTTCAGCTGATGAACTCAATTCTGTCATATACTGGCATACAGGTATTGAGAAAATTACATTAATACTTTTGTACTTTTTGCAATGCAATTTCAATGGTACATTTTATATTTTGGGAGCTTTCATAGCATCAGGTGTATCTGTATCTCTTGTACTGGTGTCTCATTCATTCTTCAAACACAAACTGGAGAACATATCACTGATCAAGAATCCCATCAAACTGATAGTTAGAGTATTG